CGCAGGCATACGCTGGGTGTGAACCCCAGGCCCATTCCAGTCATCAGATCGGGAATTGAACTCAGCACAGTGGGAAGGGCATGTGCTTCATGGCCTCTGCTGGCCCAGACTGCTGTTTTAATTTTCAGCTGCATGTTTTCTTTTACCACCTGAAGCAGTAGCCGATCTCTGGGTTCTTCCTAAGCAGACAGAATGCAGTCTGATGACCGCGGGAGCATCCATGCAGAAGCACACTGGCCAGGACTAAAAGCCTAGTGCCTTCTGCCCTGGAGTCGGCCCCATTTCCTGAGACCCCGGGCAGGCCCAGCCAGGCCAGGCAGTGCTGCGGAAGTCTGGCCTCCAGTCTGCGGGATTCCAGCAAGGTGCCATTTCCATATTCTCTGGCAATAACTAATTAGCGATTATAAAGCTCTTTGAAATATGAAGTGCTGCATGATAATATCTGTAATGAGCCTGATTCTTTCCCTCTTGCATGCAAGGCAAGGGAGTAGGTTTAACACCCATTAGGGGGAGTTGGGCTGCCAGGCAGCTTCTTCCCCAAGGGGCACGGGAGTCCTGGTCTGATCAAGTGGTCCTGGGGAGGGGGCCTGGGAGAGCAGCCCACTGGCAAAGCAGCACTTTGATGCCCGCCCTCCTCCAGTCTTCTAACTGCCCCCGTCAGCTGCTTACCAGCTTCCGAATTACCGTCTCCTGGGTGGGAGAAGGAGAGGGGCAGTGAGGATGGTGGGTGGAAAGGGGAGAAGAGAAAGGTGGAGTCGGGGCGAGGAGAATGAGTTGGGCTCGTGGTCTCCTTAATGTGACTTAGAATTTCATATTAATATATCACCTCAGAAAAAAATTAATGAGAGACGTGAAGAAAATAGGATAATGAATATGATAATATATGGGGAGTGCTTTGGGCTTCTTGGAACAAAGGTACAAGGAATTATTGCTGTGATTTTCTCATGATGCATATATATTTTTATTAAACTCTAAAAAAAAACGCCAGTAGATTCACTTCTTTGCAAGGTACTAACGCCTCGCAGAGGAGTCGTTCTTCAGTTAGTTTCCTGAGCCTCTGCCCACCTTGTTACTCTTCTGGAGACTTCCAGCTTAAGGGACGCGGAGTGTAGACTAGAACAGTCAGTGGCTTTGCCCGGAGTGTCTGGTGCACACGTGCCTGGAGAGATGGCTTTCTGAGCAAGTGGGGCTCAGGAGGGCTGGGGGCTGGGATGGAAGGGAATTGAATGCAAAACAGAAATAGAAGTCAGGGTTCTGGCTGCATGAAAACTTGGGGAAGGAGCAACTTACGTGTGTTCAGTCTCCTGGCCGCCCTGCCCAAGGGTCCACTCAGGCCAGACTTCTTCTTAAAGATTCAAGCATCATTAAATATAAGTTCTCAGTTGGAAGGGAACTTTGTGGGGCTACCTTGGCAAGGGACTACAGAGACCAGAATGAAGATGAGACCATCACAATTTCTACTTCTCGCTTCCCTATACCAGCGGTTCTCGCTACACAGTCCCCAGGCAGCAGCCTCAGCATCACCCGGAACTTGTCAGAAATGCACATCCCTAGCCTCCACCCCAGATCCAGTGAATCAGAAATTCTGGGTGTGAGGCCCAGCAATCTGTGTTTTAACAAGTCCTTCAACACACTCAAGTTGGAGAACCCGGGCTCGGGAGTGAGTTCTGCTCCAGGAAGGAAAGAAAGGGATGGGGTGGGCAGTGCCCTTGGTAAAAGTGCATTAACTATGTGCAAAAGCTACGTAGGTGATAGGAAGGTCTGGAGACTGAATGTCACAGGTTGGATGTCCCACAAAGCTGACTCTGAGATGGAGTTTAACAAGTGGAATGTCTACTAGGGAATGCCCGTTTTTTAAAAAAACTTTTTATTTTATATTGGGGTATAGCCCATTAACATCCATTAACATCCATTCTCCCCCAAACTCCCCTCCCATCTAGGCTGCCACATAACACTGAGCAGAGTTCTCTGTGCTACACAGTAGTGGGTCCTTGTTGGTTATCCATCTTAAATATAGCAGTGTGTACATGTCAATCCCAAGCTCCCTAACTATCCCTTCTCCCCACCCTTCCCCCTGGGTAACCATAAGTTTGTTTTCTACATCTGTGACTCTACTTCTGTTTTGTAAATAAGTTCATTTGTACCCCCCGTTTTTTTTAGATTCCACATATGAGCAGTATCATATGATAGCTATCTTTTCTCTGTCTGACTTACTTCACTCAGTATGACAGTCTCTAGGTCCATCCATGTTGCTGCAAATGACACAGTTTTGTTCCTTTTTATGGCTGAGTAATATTCCACTGTATATATACCACATCTTCTTCATCCATTCCTCTGTCGATGGACATTTGGGTTGCTTCCATGTCATGGCTATTGTTAACAGCGCTTCAATGAACATTGGGGTGCATGTATCCTTTTGGACCACGTTTTTCTCCAGATATATGCCCAGGAGTGGGACTGCAGGGTCATATGGTAGCTCTATTTTTAGTTTTTTAAGGAACCTCCATACTGTTCTACATAGTGGCTGTACCAATTTACATTCTACTGGGGAATGCCCTTGAGATCAGTACCTATGGTGGGGATGGGAGGGTGGGGGGAGGAAGCGGGAGAGAGCAGGAAGAGAAGTTGAGTTGTGATCCATGCCTGGGGACAGCCTTAATGGTCCCAGGGGGAGCTCTGGAGCTTGGATGGCCCGCCAGTGATGCAATGAGCTGAAGTAAGATGGCTAGACCTTTATACCCCATGTCAGACAGTCACTGAGTGTGGGTTGCTCTGGGAGGGGCGTGCTCTTGGCCTAGGCTGAGGCTGTCCCTGAAGGTTCCACCACTGACCAGCTGGGCGACCATGGCCAAATTCTCTCTGCCTCTCTGAGCCCGTTTCTCAGTAGGAATTGCTGAGTATTAGATGTAGCTATTCAGAAAGGACCTAGGAAATTGTAAATGCTTTCATTCATTCAATAAATATTTCTTGAGGGCCAATTATATGTCAGGCTAGGAATGCCCTCCTCCCTGGCCTTATAGAATTGAGAATCTCATGGAGGGGGGCGGATCAGAAGTCCATAAACACACAAATATTTGACTACAAATTGTGGTGTTACCACACTTTGGAACAGAACAGGCTGTCAAAGAAGATACAAAGGGACCTAATTTAGATGGGGGATGGTGAGGTGGTGCTCTCTCCAGATGCTACATTTAGTGGAAGAATGAAGGATGAGGAGTTTTCTAGGGGTGGAGGGTGTGGAGGTCATTTCGAGCCAAAGGAACAGCAGATGCAAAGGGCCCGAGGCAGGAAGGGGCTTGGCTTGTTAAGGAGCGAGGGCAAGGATAGAAGGAGCTGGATGCAGAGCCCTGAGGGCTGTGCTAAGGAGTTTGGGTTTTCTGCCTAGTGAAGCAGGAAGCCATCGGGAAGGTTTAAGTAGGGGAGCGACAATGACAATGACTGCTCTGGCTGCTATGTGGAGAGCAGATCGTAGAGGCAAGAGTCAGGGACAATGGCTGAGTCCTGGTGAGATGATGGTGGCTGGGACTGGGTGGTATCATGGAGGTGGAGAGCTGTGGGCAGGTTCCAGACACACTCTGGAGGGAGCGCTGATGGGACTTGGTGGTGGTTTGGAAGTGAGGGGTGAAGGAGAGGAAGATGTCAGCTCCAGTTCCTTGGTTTCTGGCTCGAGCGGCTGAGCAGAGGCTAAATGTCTGTTGAACTGAATCGAGGAGGTTCTGAGGCAACTCAGGGGCTGTTGCAATACAGGCAGCATGGAATCCGGATGGCTAACAGGAAGGAGCCCACTAATGCACAGTGAGAAGGAAAAGGAGAAGAAGGAGGAGGAGGAAGAAGAGGAAGAAAAGCAGATGATGTAGCAAATCAACAGCTAATATTCATTGAGTACTCGCCACCGGCTATGTGCTATTCTAAGCACTTTATTATCTTACTATTCTTTTTTCTTTTTTTTTTTTTTTTTTTTTTTTGCGGTACGCGGGCCTCTCACTGTTGTGGCCTCTCCCGCTGCGGAGCACAGGCTCCGGACACGCAGGCTCAGCGGCCATGGCTCACGGGCCCAGCCGCTCCGCGGCATGTGGGATCTTCCTGGACTGGGGCACGAACCCGTGTCCCCTGCATCGGCAGGCGGACTCTCAACCACTGTGCCACCAGGGAAGCCCTATCTTACTATTCTTGACAGCTATTCTGTGAAGGCTATAAAATTATTAGCCTCATTTTACATGCAAGGAAAAGAGGACCAGAGAGGTTATGTAACTTGCCTGAGGTCACACAGCCAGGAATTGGTGCAGCCAGGCTTTGAACCAGGCAATGCAGCTTCTGGAGCCTGAGCTTGAACACCCTATACCTTCATGCCCCTCACAATACCAGCTGCTGCTCAACAGGCATCCACATGGACCCTGTGAGCCATCTCACATACCTTGTCTCTATCCTTCCACAACCCTCATTTCACCACTGAGAAACCTGAAGGCTCAGAGGTTCCATAACTTGCCCAAGGTCACTCAACTCGAAAAGGGATGAACCAGGGTTCAAACTCTAATCTGTCTGACTTCAAAGGCCCTGCTGTTACCACGATACTGCACCTTTCCCCAGAGGCATTCAGACCCTCTTCAAGAGGAAGGAGACAAAATAAGTTTGTTATATTTCATTCTAATGGCCGGCTTTCATGCCTGTGATAGCACAGAGACATGCTGGCTGTCTTCCCCCTCCTATTCCTTGGTAGGCTCTCAGAATTTCCTTGGAACTCAAGTCTTCATCCCTCGTCCGTCTATCCATCCTTCAATGCATCCAGCCAGCCTTCCTTGACACGCAGCCATGTGCTTAGTTCTGTTCTAGGTCCCATGGTGCATCCAAAATGAATATAACACAGTGTCCCTGACCTTGGGAATTCTACCATCTAGTTGGAGAATAATAAGAACCACTTGTGTAGATCTTTTTGGTATCCCAAGCAACTTCCCCTATTTGTACCATTAATTCTTATCATGTTTGGCATGATCCCTTCACAGATGAGGAGACTGAATTCTGCCAACAACCACATGAGCTTGGAAGAGGATCCCAAACCCCAGATAGGAAGGCAATCTGGCCGACACCCCTGACTGCAGCCTTACAAGATTCAGCAGAGGACCTAGCCAAGCTGTGCTCTAGCTCCTGACCCACAGGAATGGTAAAATTGTACATGATGGCGAGGCACTAAGTGCGTGGAAAATTCGTCTAAATGGCCAAGCAATATATCCCATCCCACACTCTCCCCTACAACCGTGACTTTAACATGTCTCCCATCAATAGGCGGAGTCTAATTCCCCTTACCTTGAGTCCAGATGGGTTTGTGACTACTTTGACGACAGAGGACCATGGAAGTGACATTGATTTTCAAGACTGGGTAATAAAGGGCGATGCAGCATTCACCTTGTCACTGGATCACTTGCTCTTGGAGCCCTGAGCTGCCATGTAAGATGTCTGACTGTGCTGAGGCCGCCATGTTGTGAGGAAGCCTAGGCTCTACACGTGTGAGAGAACGAAGTTTCCAGCGACCCCAGCCTCCAGCCATTGACTCACTCCCAGCCCTCTAGTCTTTCCAACTGAGGTTCTAGATATCAAGGAGCAGAGACAAGCTATCCCCACTGTGCCGTAACCAAATTCGTCACCCACTGAATCCATGAAGGTAAGAAAATTGTTGTTTTACATTAATAAGTTTGGGGGCTGTTTGTTAAATAATACTAACGATCAGAAAACAGGCCAAACCCCAAATCCATGGGGTGGGAAAGGAAACTTTGCCTACTCCAACGTGCAGATTCACATGGCAAAGGGCATACATGTATAATTTTCAAATAGCAAGGGCCTGAAGGCTTGGGAGCAATACCATGATCTATGAGACAGCCTTGTATCCAATTATATTAAGGATTCAGCTGAGGCCCAGGGAAGGTTTGTGCTTTGTTCATAATCACACAGCATCAGCATCAAGGCTTCAGAGCCAGCCCTGGTGGGCATCTAGGACTATCCAAATGTGTGTTTGCCACACCCAGAGCTGGAACTGGTTGAATAAACTTGACCTGAGAATGATCTTCCCAGTGAAAGAGGAACCCAGTGAATGTACCCTGAATGATTTCCTTAGCTTTTAAAAGCCTGGGCTGGTACCTGTTGTAAATGGTTGTGCAGTATCGATATTTATTGGATTTTGCACCCTGTGAGTCGGTTTTGTGCCTGCACACCCGTGATGGGTCACCTTTTTTTTTTTTTTAAAGATTATAAATGTAACATGCAAAAATCATATTTGTTACACTTATACATATTTATATCATACATTTGCAGCATATAGAAGCACTCAGAATATATATTATTTATAAGCATTGCTGCGTCTCAGGTTTGTTAGAAAGGCTCAGAATGAGAGTGTATTTGTAAAGTGCTCCAGGGTCCTCTGGGATGAGGGCAGCTATGTAAGTGTAAGTCATTATCATTAAACTAAACTGCCTTCCTCCGATTACTGACAGCACCAAAGAGGTTCTCCCAACTCCCCAGCCCCTGCACACGGCCTGGTAATGCTGGGGTAATATAAAGATAATATTCCTGTAATAAGTGCCTTGCAGCATTTACACTTTTATTAGCAGCGGCCATATTGTAAGGAAGGGAGAGGCCCCCAGAAGTTAGCCAAAGGGTTGGAGAGGAAGGCGGAACACTCAGAAAGGCAAGCAGAATTCTGGGTCCAAGCTAAGTGCGGGGCCGTGTAGCACGAGGTAGAATTGTCGTCCCCCATCTCCACCCACAGAGCCGATTTTCAATTTCAGCTGATCCTCAAATAGGCTGTTGAGTGCAGCTAAATGGGGTACTGCGTGGTGTGTAATCGATACAGGGGGGCTTCTGGAATTCTAGCCCCAGGGACCTACTGCATTTTAAGTGGCCTCCAAACTGAGGGGAGGCCCCAAATTGACAGCTGAAGCCCTCACTTTGATTGGGGTGTAATGGAGAGGGCCACAAAGCCATGGACTTCCCAGAATGAAATTAATCTCCATGGCTGGATGGCTTCATTGGTTGCCCCCACGTAACCTATGATCGAACATAAAAGTAAGAAGGAGCTTCTGAATGGTTCTTGTATTTTACAATGGGCCCCTTTCCTCTTAGAGTTGCATCTATGTTACACTTGCTTCAGGTTGTATAGATCTTCCGGCCATATACTTGTGATGTGGAGAAACCTGTTATTTATAGATCTTGTGTCTCAGGGTGTTGGGAAATCTAAGAGTTACATCCACCATCTCATTTGACCTTTCTAACATCTCTGTGAAGCCAGCCTTAACTATCACCCCCATTTTATAGATATGGAAACTGAGGTCCAGAAGGGTTGAGTGAGTGGACCAAGGTGTTATGTCAGGAAGAGTCAGAACTGGAATTCAGGAATTTTGACCTGAGGTCAGCAGCCCATTCGTTCGGGCTGTCCTGTCAAGGGAGGATTGTACAGCAAAATTTTTCCACAATTTTGCTTTGGAGGAGACAAAATCAGAAGACAGAGGTCCAAGGTACTGGTTATCTATCACTGTGTAACAAACCACCCCAAACTTAATGGGGTAACACAGCAGCAGCCATTTTATCATTACCCCTCGTGGTTCTGGGGTGACTGGGCTTGGCGAGGCAGCCTCTCCAGCCGCTGCAGTCAGATGGCTGGAGGAGGGGACGTCTTGAAGGCTTCTTCTCTCAGATGTCTGCTGCTTGGGTTGGGAAGACTCCAACAGCTGGGGGCTGGCACAGCCGGGCTCCTGCTCTTTCTGTGTGGTCTCTCCACATGGTCCCTCCAGCATGACGACTTCGGGACAGCTGGATCTCTTCCGTGGCCGCTCAGGGTACCCAAGGTGGCTGTCCTTCAAGAGAGAGCCAGGTGGAAAGTGTATGGCCTTTTATCATCTAGCCTTGGAAATCACGGAGCATCACTTTTGGTTACTTTTCGAACTCTTTGTTAGACGTGAGTCATGAAAGCCAGCCCACCCTCAAGGGGAGGGCGTGAGACTCCACCCTGCCCTGGGGGGACTGTTGCAGAATTTGGAGGCCTCTTTTTAAAAGCACCACAGTTTTGTTCAGACCACTGCTCCTTGAGGCTCCTTTCAGGACCCCCAAGCAGGACTCAGGCAGGGATTAACCGCCCACCTCCCAAGCTTTCCTCCCACCTGCCTCCAAACCAGCCAAACTGCCTTCGGCTCCAGCATGATCTGATGAGGCCACCCGGGCACTGTCTGCTTGTGTGTTGATGATGTCAAAAGGCACAGCCGGGCCAGGCTCCCAGGGGCGACCCGTGTCGTGGTTAAGGAACCACAGCGACCCATCATCAAAAGCCCCTGGGCCAGAGCTGCTGAGAAGGTGTGTTTGCCTTTTGGCTGAGATGCTTTAAAACCCCAGCGACTTGGTTTCATTTTGAACCTGACAGATAAAAGGCCGACTTTGACTGAGAATATTAACTTTCTGGCTCCCGCCCAAGAAAGCTGAACAGATGAGGAAATAATATAAAATAAAAGGCGTCTGCAAACACTGATTGTCGGCTGCTTTCCATAAAATACGCCCACTGTTATGTGTAACACTCTCCGAGTCTTTCATTTCTTGGCCCCCTCCCTCTTTTTTGCTCCCGGTACCAAAGGAACTGCCTTCTTTTATTTAGAAAAAAAAAAAAAAAAAACCAGCCAGAGAGGAAAGGGCGCATGTGCTAAAAACAGCCCCTCGTTCCTCTCCTGGAGGTGCCAAGCAGGTGCGCCCACAGGCTAACGCTTCTGGCTCCTTGATGAGCATCGTGGACGGTCCCTGACCAGCTCCGCAGGAACCTGACTTCTGAGGCCCAGGAAGAAGGCTCTTCCTCAGGACCAGCCCCTCCCTGGGCCTCTACTTGCAGCTGCTTTCAGGTGGCCAGGGGAGCAACTTCTAGCTGTGAGGTCTCTCCAGGCAGTGCAGAGGGCCTGGAAAGTTCTCCTGCAGCCGCTCATGGACTGCCCTCGTGGACTGCCCGTGACTGGCCCTCTGAGGCCCTCTGGGAGGAGAAGGGAGGGATGCTGAGAGCAGAGGCTTCGGGAAGTGTTCTACATGGCACCTCTCCAGTCCCCACTCCGTGGCTGCTGCTGTCTCTGTGGTTGCCCCTTAATTGGGGGCATGAGGCCTGGACTGGGAGGGACCGCACTTGCCATGCCTTGACCTGAAACTTTAGAAAATCGGATGATTCATGTATTGGGTTGGCCAAAAAGTTCGTTTGGGTTTTTCCACAAGATGTTATGGGAAAACCTGAACGAACTTTTTGGCCAACCCAATATTAGTTTGCTCTGGCTGCTGTAACAAAGTAACCCACACTAGGGGGCTTAAACCACAGAAATGTACTGTCTCACTATTCCAGAGGCAGGAAGTCTGAGATCAAGGTGTGGGCAGGCTTGGTTCCTTCTGAGGGAGGGATCTGTTCCAGGCCTCTCTCCTTGGCCTGTAGATGGCTGCCTTCTCCCTGGTCTTCTCACATGGTCTTCCCGCTGTGCCATCTATGTCCCAACTTCCTCATCTTCTAAGGGCAGTTGTATTGGATTTGGGCCCACCCTAAGGACCTCATTTTATCTTCATCACTTCTATAAAGACTCTGTCTCCAAATGTAGTCACTTTCTGATGTCCTGAGGGTTAGGGCTTCAACATATGAATTTGCAGAGGACACAATTCAGCCCATAACAACTCTGTAGCCTAGAAAGAAAAGTTACAGTCGGCGATGGCCCTCAGCTGTGTTTCAGAGGAGCAGTCTAGGCACAGCACGCTGCTTGATGGACACCCCACATCATTCATCACCCCGCTTTGGCCTGTCACCTCTGCTGTTTGTCCACCTTCCCCACCTGGATCAGTGGAGGCCCAGACCTTGCAGGCAGACAGCCAAGGGGCTACTTGCAAAGCAGGATACTTGAGGGCATCAACTCCCTGCACTGCCACCCTGCCCACTGCACAGTGGGCCTGGTTCATGACGGAAGCCCTCTTGGCTGTCTAGAAAGATCAGATCAGTAGGGATAGCAAGAACCGGAAGGTGACTATCAGCCTGGAGCACCTCCCATGCATGGTCGGAGCAACAGACAGAAACTGGCACCAACTCGAGCTGGGATACTGGGTGCGTCACCATAGTTCTCCACACCTAATTTTTTTAATCTATAAAATGAAGAAAAGGAAATCTGTCCATTTGTGATCTGAAACCCTACTGAGTGGGTCCAGCCTACAAGAGTCTGGCTGGCTTCATGAGGTCCAGCCATCCAGTGGGTCACCTGACGTGAGGGTGGTTCTTCTTCCACAGACCTCAGGGGAAAAGGCCAGACGTTCCCATGAAGCCAAGACAGTGACCCTCTGCTTGCCTCACCCATTACAGGCATACACTCCCGAGTCTTGGGCATCCAGGGGCTCAAAGCAGTTGTGAGACCCCTGAGTCAGCCTTCCAGTGAGCAGAATGGAGGAGAAATATAATCGCTCCAAGAGCAGTCTTTTTGAACTTTCTTTTTTTTACTGCAACAGTAAGAAATTCTCATCACAACCCCTAACACACACACACACACACACACACACACACACACACACACACACACACACCCCACAACCTGTACCTTCAAATTATGTCCAGAACCGACCACTTTTCCCCCCACCATCACTGCTTCCACTTTGGTCCAGGCCACCATCATCTGTCAC